TTAAATGAAGAGTGCAAGAATAAGGGTTGGTAGAGATAGAGATCAATGGATCAGTAGATGTATGGAATGATGGGGACAGATGACTTGGTGAGTGATTAGACAGATAGATAGGCAGGTCAGCAGTTGGTTGGGAGAAAGTGTTGGGGAGGGAATTTGTATTAATGGGATTCACAGGGTGAGACCAGGCCCAGGAACCCGTGCCTGATGAAGACTAGGTAAAGCACAGGGAGGGAACAGAGCCAAGCCTGCCGGAGAGGCCGGGGGTGGGGGTGAGGGTCAGGCACTTCGGATGATGGACTGGGGAGGGCCTCCAAAGAGAGGTATCACGTGAACTGAGTCGTCATTCAAGCGTGAGAAGGAAGGCTGGACTGCTGGAGCTGAGGGTGCGAAGCATAATGTGAGGGAGAAGGGCAGACAGGAGGCTGCCATGGACCAGAATAGGCACGAGGTCAGGCTTGGAGAGAGGACAAACTGGGAGGCGCGTAGAGGCCAAGCAGTGGGATGGACAGGGCTTCGCCAGCCAGGCAGCTTGTAAGGACTCATCTCCTTTGACTGCTGGCCCCCGGCTTCCCAGCCCAGAAAGGAGCAGGGTCCCTGTGGGAATCTTTGCCTACCCCAGGCTTCTTCAGCCCTAAGGATCTGCCCTACCCCTGACTCTATGACAGCCGAAGTGAACGCCAGCTGCAGTTATACATGGCTGATGCCCTGGCAGATGGCCCCTCCGCAGTGTTGGGCCTCGATGTGGCTCCCTCCACCCTGCTTCCAAGCTATGACCCTGATACCGGCCTGGTGCTTCTCACTGGCAAGGTTGGCTGGAATGGACTGCCTGGGTGTGGGGCAGGGTCTGGTGTAGCTGGCTGCTTCACTTTCATACCCCACCTTTGTCCCCCAGGGTGATACCCGTGTGTTCTTGTATGAGGTGCTTCCGGAGGCCCCTTTCTTCTTGGAGTGCAACAGCTTCACATCATCTGACCCTCACAAGGTGATGTCACTTTCACCACTGAACTTCCTGTCCCCAAGTTGGACTGCAAGGTTCCCATGCCCCCTCGTGGTCATGTGAGGAAGTGCAGGAGCCAGTCGGGGTGGGGTGTCAAGGGAGTCAAGGTCCTGTCTAGAGCTGTGCCCAGTAGCAGATATAGCTGACTGGAATAATCTAGGAATTTCGAGAGCTGACTTATATTCAGCCATTACTAAAAATTAAACTATATAAGGTTGTTATATGAACCAGGCATGGTGGCACAAACCTGTCATCCCAGCACTCTGGAGGCTAAGGTAGGAGGATCATGAGTTGAGACCAACCTGGGTACTATAGTGAAACTCGGCCTCAGTCAAACAAAGAAATCCAAGGAAACAAATCCTGTTTAGTTCCTTGCTTACCTTAATGTGGTATGTGCATGAACTATGTGGGACCTGTCCCACAATGGCGTGTGGCATACTGTTCTTCATCTCTTTTCAACTTCTTAGAGTGGGACATGGTGGGACTCCGTTCTCTGTGGAAATAGGCCAGTGCTACATGCCTGGTCTTCTCCCCTTAAAAGCTAGTTGTTCCCACCGACAGCACACCACTATTGTCTTGGTTTCTGTTCTCTTGCTGTGAAGAGACACCATGACCAAGGCAACTTATCAAAGAAAGCATTTAATTGGGAGCTTGCTTATAATGTCAGAGGGTGAGTCCATGACCATGGCAGGGAGAGTGGCAGCAGGCAGAGAGAGGGAAGCTAACCGTGGACTGGCTCGGGTTTTTGAAACCTTAAAGCCCTCTAGTGACACATCTCCTAATCCTTCCCAAATAGTTCTACCATCTAAGGACCAAGCATTCAAATATATGAGCCTATGGGGAACATTCTCATTCAAACCACCACAGCTACCAAAGGACAGGCCGTGGTCCTGGCCTAAGTGAGAAATTCTGCTACCCTAGAATGCCCTGTGTCCAACCAGGAGCTCTTGGCTCTACCTTCTACTTCCTCATTCCTCCTAGGGCTTTGTCCTTCTGCCCAAGACTGAGTGTGACATTCGGGAAGTGGAGTTTGCCCGATGCCTTCGGCTACGCCAGACCTCCCTGGAGCCTATTGCTTTCCGGCTGCCCCGAGTCAGGGTGAGTTTGGGTCAAGGACTCAATCTCTTCCTTTTTTGGCTGGCCAGGGACCCAGGAACTTAGGTTCTTATCTGTTCTTGCATCCAAACCTCCCTGTCTACTTTTTGGAAACATCTACCTCTATATTCTACTGAAATTCAGCAAAGCATGTGATTGCTGGTGTGGGTGGGGCCAGGTTTCAGGACTTATGTGTCCTGGGCCCCTGGTCAGTGTCTCATGATAGGCCCTTTCTCCTCTACAGAAAGAGTTCTTCCAGGATGATGTGTTCCCAGACACAGCTGTGAGCTGGGAGCCAGTACTCAATGCCAAAGCCTGGCTGGGGGGTGCCAATGGACAGCCCCGGCTCCTGAGTTTGCAGCCCCCTGGCATGACCCCAGGTTGAGTAAGGGAAAATGGGGAGATGATAGGGGAGGGGGAACCTGGACAGGAGTGGGAGGAAGGAGCCAAAGGTCCAAGTACAGTCCTCCATTTCTGTTGCCACATAGAGACACCTCTGGCTCATCTAAGGATGGCTGGACATGTCTCCAGACCCAGTCTATGAACCCCTGGAGGGCAAGTTCTGTGGCCTGTGTTTTATCCTAGCACACACACACACACACACACACACACACACACACACACACACACACACACACACACACACGCATGCATGTGTTGCATACTCAACATGTGTATTCTTTTTTTGTTTGTTTTTTTGAGACAGGGTTTCTCTGTGTGACAACTCTAGCTGTTCTGGAACTTGCTTTGTAGACCAGGCTGGCCTCAGAGATCCTCCTGCCTCTGCCTCCTCAGTGCTGGGATTAAAGGAATGTGCCACCACTGCACAGCTCACATGCATACTCTTACAAATATATACCCTGGTGCTTTGGGCAGGCCTGGTGAACGGGTCTTCGGTACTTGTTAATGCCAGACAATCTCCTGGGGGTTGATTGTAAACAGGGCCTTCTTTGATGCTTATCCTTGCTCCACCCTAGTGAGCCAAGCCCCCCGGGAGGCCCCTGCCCGAAGAGCCCCATCCTCAGCACAGTACTTGGAGGAGAAGTCGGACCAACAAAAAAAGGAAGAGGTGGGCATGGGAGAGGGTTGGCTGTGCTGTGCAAACAGCGTCCTCCATGTGTTTGGTTATCTGCCAGGTCACCAGCCCCACCAGATGGCAGGATGAGCCACGTGTCACACTTGTCTCCACACCAGACTTTGGGGAGGGGCCACACCCCGGGACCTGCTGCTGCCCTCAGGGCATAGGAAGCCAGGGAGGGGACACACACATTGTAGCCAGGCCTGACCCAGCCAAAGTTAAAGATTGGAGACGTGAGCCCCTGGTGATCCTGGTGTGCATTTGAGCCTTGGAGGCAGTGCACCGAGATGGCAGCTCCTGCGTCCGGTCCCACACGGCAGTCTCCTGTCTCTGACACCTTCTTACTATCTTTGCCTCGTTTACAATGAAAACCCATCAACCTCGCCAGGGCTCCAACTGAAACGGCTCTTTCAGCATTATTGGTGTTAACACTGGGGTTTTAAGTTACTGAGGTCAGAGAGTCGTTTTTTCAGTGCCTCCCCCATCTCCCTTCACAGCTGCTTAATGCCATGGTGGCAAAGCTGGGGAACCGAGAAGACCCACTGCCCCAGGACTCCTTTGAAGGGGTGGATGAAGACGAGTGGGTGAGTGACAGTTAGAGCCGGCTCCTTAGCCCACAGCGCTGTTCCTCCTCTAACACTGTGTGTGCACACGGTTCCCTTCCTCGGCCCTCTTAACGCCTGCCTCCTGGTCTCTCACCCCAGGACTAACCTGCACCCCAGGCACCCCCGGCCTCGGCTGCCACCGCCACCTCCTAGACACCTGCTGCTGCCCTTCCCCACCTTACATCTCTGCAAACTGGACAGTGCTGCTCGGGCCCCGGCAGGCACGTCCAGCCCGGGAGCCCTGGGTTTGCTGCAGGCCTCAGGCTCTCCGCTGCTGCCGGCCCACTGCAACTCCAGGGACTGTCTGCTCCTCTCCCCTCGGGGCCAGCTGTGTGTCTTCAGCTGCCTGTTAGCATGTGCCACCAACGGGTGGGCAGTAGATGTCAGTAGCATGTCTCCGGGCCAACCCTGGATGCCTTGTCTCCTAGTCTTCTGCTGGCTTCACCTAACATCTTCAGTTACTACATGCCAACCTCTCTTGCCTACTGCCCCAGCGCCAGTCAAGGACACTGGGGGCTGGTCCCCCACCAGGCTGTTGGGGGCAGCTTTATCCTCAGGGGCCTAGGACCATTTGCGCTGCTTCCGTTGGCTTGAGGCCAGGAGGAAGGGTCTCATGGAGCTAACAGCCTCATTACAGTGGTGTGAACCCCACAACAACCAGCCTATACATGCTTTGGATGTTTTCAGCAATTAAACTTTTCTAAGCTGGCTGCCTCTTGTGCTGCTCTGGTCTCTGGGAGTCTAGAAAGAAGGGAACAGAATATGAGCGAGAGAACTTTGGTTCTGGGCTCCTTCATGCTGGTTTTACTTAGCCACATTTACTTTGTAATGAACAGGGAAGATGGAGCTTCAGCCGATTATAGCTTTGTCCTAGGGACCCAGACCATGCACAGGAAAGCAGAAGGGGGAAACTGAGAACTGACTGGGGGGGGGGGGCATGCAGGGTGTCAAGGGCTGCGCAGGAGATGAATGTGTTCTTTGAAACTGGAGACTAAGACCCGGAGGAGCCGAGAGCCAGTGAGAGCAAGTTCAGCAGTGAACCAGGGTGAGAGAATTTGGAAAGCCAGAGGAAGGGAGGATGGGCAGAGGTCTAGAGCAGACGTTCTCAATCTGGGGGGGTCGAACGACCCTTTCACAGGTCACTTAAGACCACCGGAAGACACAGATGTTTACATTATGGTTCACACAGTAACAAGATTACAGTTACGAAGTAGAGACAAAATAATTTTATAGTTGGGGATCACCACAACATGAGGAACTGTATTAAAGAGTCAAAGCATTAGGAAGGTTGAGAACACTGCTCTGGAGGAAACTGACTTAAATCCATCCACCAAATAACTAGGAGTATCCATTGCATCTCAGACAGCCTTCCAGGTGCTTGACAGCTAAGAATAAAGACATAAATGTTCTACCCACTGAGAGTTCATACTCTAGTGGGAAGGCATAGCAATAAGTAATAAATATTAAAAAAAGTAAAAATAAAGGAATTATTATTAAAAATAGAACAAATGGAGCGTGAAGGGATAAACTAGTCACAAAAGACCACATGTAGTTCTGATTCTGAATCTATAGGATGTCCAGAGCAAACCACAGACACAATGCAAATGAGTAGTTTCCAGAGTAGGGAAGTAACTTCTGGGTGGAAATGCTCTCCACTATAGTAGTGATGGTGGAACTGTTTGGTGTGTGAATTATGGGTGTCTTGATAGAACTGTCACGAACGCATACACACACAAACCACAGAAGAGCTTGTGAGGACTTGGAGGGAAGAGAGAACCCTCTGCAGGCCAATCAGAGAAGCTTGAATAAAAAACAAACCTGGCAACACGATCATCTTTGATGTAAAGATTCCAGATGGGCGGTGGTGGCGCACGCCTTTAATCCCAGCACTCAAGGAGGCAGAGGCAGACTGATCTCTGAGTTCAACACCAGCCTGGTCTAGAGTTCCAGGACAGTCAGGGCTACACAGAGCAACCCTATCTCGGATTCCTCCCCCCGCCCCCCCCCCAAAAGAGGATTCCAGAACCATCAGAAAATAAAACATTGTGTTTAAAGCACACCTCAGCCCCTCCAAAGCAGGACAGCGTGGTGGGCATATCAGTGTAGTAGGGGAACCTGATGGGCCTCACTGAGAAGATGGCTTTAGATTACAGATTTGACCTTGAGGTGGGTGGAAACGGAGCCCTTCGGGTACCTAGGAAAGAGTTGCACAAGCAGGAGGACTCTGGAATTAAACCTATTTTTGAAGTACCTAGTTTTCTTAAGTATTCCGGAAATTTGACATCCATCCCTACATTACTTTGGCTTGTTTCATATGACGGATTCTTCCTAAATATTCCGGTAAAAAGATGCACCAGTCCCAAGACCACCGAAGGTCTGCAGCCGCCCATCGCTCCTCGCCCAGTCGTCCTCCTATCCCGAAGCAGGCTCCGCCTACGTTCACGGCGCCGCAAGAGTCACGCCCCTGGAAGTGCGTCGCCGCGTCGCCGCGCACGCGCTCTGCGGTCTCCCTTGACCTCTGACCCAGCGGCCGCCGGTGAGCGGGTGCCCCTGGGTCGGGACGCGGCGCCCGTGCCCCTGAGGCGCAGCGGCCGCCATGGTGAGGCTCGGGGAGGGAGGGCGAGTCGGAGGCGGGCGGGCGGGCGGCTCCAGCCCTGCGGCCGAGATCCGCCCGCGTACCCCACAGGCAGCGGGCTCTGTGGCGTGTCGCCGGCTCGCAGGTCCTTGACGCCCGGGCGGGGATGACCGCGGGCCTGGGGACTGAGGCTCGACCGGCAGGAAGCCCCCGGCCGTGCCCAGCCTCGGCGTGCCCTGCCTCGGCGTGAGCGAGCCGGTACGGGCGGTGGGAGGAGGCGGTTGTTGGGTGGGCCGGCTCCTGAGTGGCGGACTCGGCGGTGTTGCTCGGTTTTTAACGGCGTTTGACAGTTGGCTCGTGCAAGGAGTTGGTAGACCCGGGACCCGAGCTGGAGTGAGGCGTGGAGGCTGGGCGTTTGTAGGAAACCGTGCAGGTCGCCTGTGCAGCCTTTAAAGGGCAGGTTCTTGAGGTTTGCCCCTGAGTGACTGGGAGGCGGCTGGTTGGGGGAGCCTATTTATTTACTTATTTGAGATAGGGTATCACTATGTATGTAGCCCTGCCTGCCCTGTAACGTCGTAAGTAATAGACCAGGCTGGACTAAAACTCATTGAGATCCACTTGCCTCTGTCTCCAGTGCTGGCATTAAAGGTGTGCGCCACCACACCTTTAATGGTGGGCAGTTAACTGCTTACAGTTGTCGTGCCTGGAGCTGAGGCTTCACACAAGAGCCAGAGGCTGGTTTGGGCTCAGTTTGGTTCATGTTCTGAGACTACACATTTGCCACCACATTATTCCTGCCTTGTAATTGGATCACCAACATCTAATGAGGACCTGTGTTGATTCCTTGTGGGATGGGGCCTTTACCATGCATTCTCCACATTCAACTTTGAACGCAGTCACGGTGGCTTACACTTGCAGACCCAGCACTTGGGAGGCTGAGGCAGGAAGATCAGGAGTCGGAACTAGTGTGGACTTCATGAATTCCAGGGCAGCCTGCGCACTTTAGTAAAGCGGTCTGAGAGGATAGCTCAGTGTTATAATGCTTGCCCACCACAGGAGAGGCCTTGGATTTAATCCCCAGTACACCCCCCAAAAGAGGAAAAGAAAAGTACTATGGGAAGGTATAAGTGGGAGGAGCCTAGGAAATTTTCACCTAGGAGTCCGATTATCGCATATTTTGCTAAGCCCTGAAGGGTGCAAAGGTTTTTGGTTTGGGGCATTGTCTTGCTTTGTAACTCAGGCTAGCCTCAAACTCTAGGGATCCTCCTGCCCCAGCTTCCCAAGTGCTGGAATTACAGGCATGCGCCACCACCATGCCTTGGCAATGTTGAGTCTTGACCGTATCTGGATAGGAAGGAGGGTATTTATAGTGCAGGAACTCGAGCAGTGGAGACATTAAGCATAAAGAAGTATGCTTACCAGAAGTAAGGGTGCAGCCGCAATGAGAGGAAAGGTAAGGGAGAGAAAATCCAGAGGACCAAGTTGAGATCAGAGGTGGGAGATATCAGTGCCAAGCTGAGGATGATCTGAATTTGCAGACAGCAGTAGAGCCTTAACTCAGGGTTGGAGGTGTATGGAAACCCTGCCTGGGGAATGGGCGTAGGAAACTGGCTTGATTGAAGTGTTGGTTCATGGACAGTCATGCTCTTTCAAATATGTACTGGGCACCTGCTGTGCAGGCCGCTGGGGACCCAGAAACACTGTCACAAATGGCACCGTGTAGTAGTCCTGGCCTTGCTCCTATCTAGCTGTGACACCAGTGACAGCCCAAGTCCCTCCTACTGTGTCAGTCCGACCCACTCCCAGGGCCCGATACTCTGTATTGGAGGAATGTTATACACAGGCCTGAAAGTTGGGCCCTTCCTGATGCGCCTCCATGACTTATGCCTCGTTTTCGGACCCCTCCCCACCAACCTTGTCTGAGGTCCTCTTGTGCCATATTGCTTCTCAGTTGGGAAAGGAAGTGTGTTGCTAATGGCAGATTTCAGGGTTATAGTCCTGTGGTTATGACTCCTGCCCTCAGCTACTGCTTTGCTTGAAGTGAGCTGTGAGCTGGCTGTTCTTGGCCTGGGATCTTGAGGCCTGTCAGTGAGTTAGAGTTGTTTGGGTGCTTTCTTATTGGGGCCTTAGTGGTGGTTGTTTGAATACTCCTGAAGCAGACTGTAGCTGGCAGAGCTTTGCACCCCAGAAATGTTCAGCTGTGAGCATCGCCTGATTGCCAGATTAACACCAAGCAGGGACTGGTCTGGGAGCAAAGCCAGCAGTTGAACTCTGTTTCCAGGACCCTCCTGTCTCTCCACTCAGTTTTGTGTGTATTGCCTCCCAGGGCCTCACATCCCTCCTGTAAGGAAATGTATCATTGTCTTCATTTTGCAGTTTAAAAAGCGGTGGTTGAGAAAAGTTAATTTGTCAAAGGCTACACAGCTGGTGAGAAGCAGAGGTAGAATTCGGGTGGAGGTCAGGCTCCTTCTTGCCTCCTTCCCCCTGCTGCTTGCTTCCTAGCTCCTAGGAGAATGTGGTTTGTATACTTTTACCTCTGAGGCACCAAAGGGCCTAACTGGAAAAAACTGTTGTTTGTTGTTTTAAAAAAACAAGGTCGGCCGGGCGGTGGTGGCGCACGCCTTTAATCCCAGCACTCGGGAGGCAGAGCCAGGCGGATCTCTGTGAGTTCGAGGCCAGCCTGGGCTACCAAGTGAGTCCCAGGAAAGGCGCAAAGCTACACAGAGAAACCCTGTCTCGAAAAACCAAAAAAAAAAAAAAAAAAAAAAAAAAAACAAGGTCTTCCTATATAACCCCAGCTAGCCTGGAATTCACCATGTAGACCAGGGTGACTTTGAACTTGTGGCTGTCTTCCTGCCTCTACCTCCTGAGTACTGGAATTGAGGCATGAACTACCAGGCTTGCACTGCCTGGCCATTGCCAAATTTTTATAAAAGCAGAGTAGTAAGTAATACATGGAAACCAATACTTGCTCATCACCTGCTGGGTCATTTAGGCTCCATGCCAGGCATCATCTCACTCTCCGACAGCCATGGTGTTCACAGTTGTGGTGTCAGGAAATTGAGGCACATATGGGTTGAGACTTTGACCAGGGTCACACAGGCTGGGATGGGTATAGGAGGTAATCCCAAAGCTGGCCTGCATAAATGCTGTTTCAGCCTCTTCCTGGGAACACCTCTGCAGAAACATGCGTGGTTCTGTCTGCAAATCCCAGGTGGAACTTTGCAGGCCAGCCTTGCCTCCCTAATAGCTTCTAGGCCTTGTGGCTAAGACCTAGTGCAATTCTCCCTTCCCTCAGCCACTGTACTCCAGATATCAGGAGTACAATGATAATAGAACAACAGGCTACTTGTCACCTTGGCTTGAAGTGTACAGGGGGAAAGTTTCCAGTTAGAGCTTCTATTTTGTTTTGTTTTTTGAGAAAGGGTCTTTATATAGTTCTGGCCATTCTGGAACTTACTATGTAGACCAGGGGCTGTCCATGAACTCAGAGATCCACCTGCCTCTGCCTCTAAAGTGATAGGATTAAAGGCGTATCACACTGGCCAGCCTGTTTTGTTTTTTCAAGACAGGGTTTCTCTTTGTAGTCTTGGCTGTCCTGGAACCCTCCATGTAGACCAGGCTGGCCTTGAACTCACAGAGATCAGCCTGTCTCTGCTTCCCGAGTGCTGGGATTAAAGCCTCAGTTTTTTTAACATCCATTATTTAGCAATAGCTATGGACCTTATCAGAAAAGTACATCATTGCCTCCAAGGCCATGTAATGGGTGTGTGGCTAGAGAGGCAGACTGTGTGGTGAAATCTCCTAAGGGGTGTTCTAGGCCAAGGGAACCTCTAGAACCAGTCATACAGAAGCTAAATTCCATCTCAGAGCTTCCTGCCTTACTTACAAGGCAATGACTCTAGGTGAGCAAGGCAAAATCGGGTGAGATCACCAGTCAGTGAGCACCCTGTCACTCCTGTTACTACCACACAGCTGGCATTGATCTTCACAGGAGGGGCTTCCCTAGGCCATGCTTTCTGGTATAAAAGCTAGGGCTTAGGAAATTCCAGCCTTTTGGGAGCCCTCTTCACTTCCCTAATGGTCCATAATCAGATCTGCTTGTTAGGGAAGGGCAGGGCCTTGAAGCCAGAAAGGCCAGTTCTGGAGTCTGAGCTCCTGACGCTGGTCATCTTGCCGTCATCTTCCCTTCGGAGTAGGGTCCTATGGGAAAGAGGACTCCAGCTTCCCCACCCCTTCTCCCGAGCACCAGTGAGTCACTAAACCTCGAGTTCTTGGGATGAAATGGCACAAACACTAGAACATTCTGATACAGTGCCTGGTACACAGACTTAGTCAGTACTTGTTGACGGAGATTAGCCACAGGAAAGTACAAGGGAGAAAGGTCCAGTTTTGTGCTGTACCATGTGAGTGCTACAAGCTTGCATGAGCGTTCACCAGGAGTGCTCTGCATGCTTCTTTATTCATTTCACAGACATGGGGTCCAGTTTTATACATGCTCTTTATACATCTTTTCTGTTTCAAAATGAAATCTTAATGTTTCTCCATTAATCCAACCTCTGGTCTTTTTCCAGTCGAGGATGCTCCCAGGGTGTCTGATCTTAGACTTACCTCCTTCACTTGTGGCTCATTCTCATGGCTCCACCTGCACCTTAGGACCCAGCCTAGGAGAAATACCGTCTTCCCCCAGAACCTCTCTCCTGTTCCTTATTATTCCTAGTGAGGCTCCCCTATTTATTAGTAGTGGGATCTGGGTAGCCTTGCCCTGCTGGAGATGATTTCCCTGCTTGAACAGTGGCTGTGCAGCCTGCTGTGAGAGCAGGGATTGAGTCCTGTGTGTCTTTGTCCAAAACTGAATTGACTGAATAGATGTGTGAACCCAGTAGTTCAACAGATGACTGTACTCTTCACTTGCTGGGTTCAAACCTTAGGGTGTTGTCTGAATTCCCTTTGTAGACTCCCGAGTACTATGTTCTAAGTAGACCCTTAGCCCACCCCTTTTGTTCCTTTGCTTAGTGTATATAATGTTACTCACATGGTAAGAGGATTTTAGGTTTCCTTTTCTGTCACTCGCCACCTTATTCCTTTGAGGCAGGGTCTCTCTCTGAACCTGGAACACTTTTTCTGGCTAAGTGGTAGCCAGAAAGCCCTAGTGGATTTTTCTCCACCCCACTCAAGGTTTGGATAACAGGTATACACAGGACAGGACCGTGCCTGGCTTACTTCATGGATAGTGGGATCTGAGCTTGGGTCCTTGTAGTTACAAGAGCAAGCACTCTTACCTGCTGAACCATCTTCTTGGCTCCCATTTGTTTGTTTTGGTTTTTTTGAGATCCAGACTCATGATCACCCTTCCTCGGCCTCCCCAGTACTAGGATTATAGCCATGCACCACCACACCCAGACTTTTAGTGATTTTGTTGTTGTATTCATGGACAGATTCCAAGTCATTGGACTTGAAGTCTTGGGAGAGTTCGGATGGATCTGTTTTCCGTGGTAATGTGAAGGCTGGGCCAGATGGTCTCAAAAGCACAGAGGAGCCATCAGTGACCTTGGAGTGTATTAAACTGGTGGCAGTCTGGGACTGTATTATGTACTGGCTCTCAAGCCAGTTCCTTCCCACAAGTCAGTGTCAATTTTATCCCCCTACAGCCTTTCCAATAATCTTCATCTGGGAACTCCAACATATCTAGAGCTACCAAAGGAAGTTTACAGGAGTTAGCCCTTAGATCATCCCCACAGCTCTGAGGTGTCCGTTTTGCCCACAGGCCAAGTACCTGGCCCAGATCATCGTGATGGGTGTGCAGGTGGTGGGCAGAGCCTTTGCCCGGGCCCTGAGGCAGGAGTTTGCAGGTAAGCCTCTACCTCTCTGCATGCTGGGAGCCCTGCCAGTTTAGATTTTCCTGTGGGTTGTGTCAGTTGTGAATGAAGGGATCTCTTTTGGGTAGAACTCTGTGGCTTAGATGGCCTAGAACACTTTGCTATGGTAGGAGGCAGTGCCAGACTTTGAGACATTCCTACATACAGGAAAGGTTTGTTTTCAGTTAGGCCTGGTTAGCACGAGCGTCCAGGGCAAACGGGCCCCTGTGACAGTCCATTTTGGTAAATAAAGTAAGAGAGTCACATCTTCTAGATGCTTTGAAGGAGAGCTGAGTAATTCCAACACAGACTAATTGACTGTAAAGTTTAAAATGTTTATTATCTGGCACTTTAAGGGAAACTTTGCTGGCTTTTGATTGTAATGTCACCAAAGGATAGCAGTCCCGGGGTGGTCTGCTGTGACAAGTCTGGGCACTGGCTAGGCCAGTTGTGGAGGCTCTGACACTGCTGCTCCTCCCCTGCCTGTAGCTTTATCCTAGTCCCCAAAGTAGCTTAAAGCTCCCAATTTGCTAGGCCTCTGGGACCTAGGAACGAGGGGAGGAAGAGGGTCAAAGTCATCTTGTGGTCTAGACTGACGGACCAAGAGCCTAGTTTGGCCCTGTTCCATTCTTCAGTATGGACTGTTTGCCCCTCCCTCCAAAAAGACGCCATACTAAAGAAAAGCTACTCCTGGGCAAATTGTTTCTTTTGTGTCACTTAGAAGGCCTAGGGGAAGCTCTGGGCCACCAAGGGGACTAAGCAGTCACCAATGTGTCCACAGCAAGCCAGGCAGCCGCTGATGCTCGGGGTCGTGCTGGGCACCAGTCTGCAGCTGCATCCAACCTCTCTGGCCTCAGCCTTCAAGAGGCCCAGCAGATTCTCAACATCTCCAAGCTGAATCCTGAGCAGGTCCAGAAGGTGAGGCCCCTGATCTGTCATGGGGTGGTGTTGTGTAGAAGAGGGTGGGTGTAGAAGCCCTGACCCCAGCCAGTGGGAGCTTGAAGAGCCCCAGGCAGCACAAATACAGACACATGGCAGCACAAATACATCCCCACATGGCTGCTTGTCTTTCTCTTCTCCTTTTGGTCACAGCAGCTTCCTGCATGACAGAGGTCAGGCCCTTTAACATCTCTTGTCATCAGCCTTCCCTGATGTCACCCAGAGACTAATGTTCACTTCTCATCTCTGCAGAATTATGAACACCTGTTTAAGGTGAACGATAAGTCCGTGGGAGGCTCTTTTTACTTGCAGTCAAAGGTGAGTGCTCTTTAACTCTATGAGGAAAGGAAGCCAAGGGCTTCCCCTTGGACCCTGGAGTGCCCCTTAAGTTGTTTGAATCTTGGCAGTCTGCTGTCCTCTAGGGAGGTTGTTAGGGCCTGGGACAGGAAGGGGAAAGGTCCTCCATTCAGACAGAGACTGTCAGAACCTGACCTTCCTCCTCCTCCTCCTAGGTTGTCCGTGCGAAGGAACGTCTAGATGAGGAACTCCGAATACAAGCCCAGGAAGAGAGCGAGAAAGGGCAGATGCCCAAAACGTGACTGCTGGCCACTCCCACCCCACCCATTGCCTCATAATTTATAGCTTGGTAATAAATGTCTTTTCCATGTTTCTCCAGTGCCTCTATTCCTGTTTGAGAAGGTTTGCTCACTTCCTGCCCATTTGGGGTTGTGAAAGAGTCAGGAGGCAGCAGTCCTTGACAGCCTGGTGGCCAGGATGTTGGTGAACAGCTACACACCCACTTTAGTAAGCCTGGCCAGGATCTGTCACAGAGGCTTTGTTCCTCCTGTGTCCTACCACACAGTCCTGAGGAAACCAAAGGGTCTGCCCATGCCTTCCCTCAAGATAAAGGACCCCTGGCCCCAGAACTCCCAGCTGGGGTTGCATAGGCTCTCAGTGACTCGGGCAGAAAGCTCATGCGTAGCTGGGAAGGAGCTGTGGCCAGGTGTCAACCATTCTCAGCAGGCAGTGGCAGATCAAGGCCTGAACCTTGTAGTTGAGAATAATTTGTACCCTCCTGTCCCGTACTGCCTACCCTTTCTAGTCCCAGGTGGGTGGGCCTTCTGATCTCAGAGTGAAGGTAGCCTGTGGCAGGTCGAGGGGAAAGGTCCAGGCCAGGCCTTTAGGTGTCTAGTTGGAACGCCCACAACCAAGATAGAGCAAGTGACCCAGTTCCTGGCACATCTACTATGCAGAAACCATCTTTGCAACTCACTTTTATTGTTTCTTTATAAACTTCCTCTCACATGGAGGAATATATTGTTATAGTCATTAGCTTATCTTTTTGTTTTGTTTTAACTCTATGCTAACAGCAATGGAGCCAAAAGGAGGAAAAACACAAGCTACAATAGAAAGGCACTTAGAACCTGTTAAAATACTGATGTCTGGGATGTGTGACGACGGACTGACAAGTACACCGGCCCTTCCAAGCCTGGTCTATCACGGAATCACATGCTGAGCTAATGTCGCCTTCCAGTGCCCGTGCTCTGCTCTTGGGCTTGAGTCTGAAACTCAGTCCCCCAGCCAGGGACTTAAGGCCTAGGGCCCTAACGAGCCAGGTTACTTGGATCATGGGTAGACCCGAAGACAGGAGACCAGCTCCTTAACTTGCTCACAGCCCCTTCAAGGGGTAGAGCCAGCACAGCCGAGCCCTATCAGGGCTGGGGTCCTAAGCCCAGCAGTTGGGCAGGTCAGGTCAGGGTGACCCTTCTGAAACAGAAGGGCAGTCTGGGAAAAAGGAGAGTAGGCAGAGCTACTCAGAAGAAGCAGAGCTACTAAGGGCCCCTACCATCCCAGCAGCTTTTGTTCTAAGGATGGGGAGGTGAGGGGCTTAGCCACTCTGCAGCAAAGGACAGAGGACAGCAAGAGGCCCAAGCTGGCACACCTAGCCTTTTGGAGCTGTGGAGCACAGTCCTCCAATGTCCTTGGCTTAGTCTAGCCCTACATAAGTGCTGACCTTATTCTGAGTAGTACAGGCCCTGGGGGAGCTGGCTTGGGGAGAGCCTGTGGGCCAAAGAGAGGCACCACCAAGAAAAGGGCTCAACTGGAAAGTCAGAGGAAACAACCTTGTCACGTGTCCAGTCCATTCTCTAGCCAGCTTTTCTCAAGCAGACGGTTGGTCCTCCAAATGCTGTGCTTGGCTGCCTAGCCTCCCTCACACCCAGAGGCTTCAGTTCATGGTTTCTTGAAAGCTCCTTTCTGATGAGTCAGTCCTTCCCTGCATTCCATGACTTCGTAACCCCCAAACCTGGAGCCCACCTGGTATAGACTGACGCTTTGCAGACTTCTGCAGGGTAACAGTGCCAGGCCAAGCCAAGCTGGACCGGACCAGTACAATGATCCTTTGAACCTGCTTGCACACTCCCAAGGGAAAGGAGTGCTCAGCCACCTCTCCTCTTTAGAGAGTGTTGCCAGCCCTTTGGCAGTGCTGACTCGGGCAGAGGGGCACTGACAGCAGGCTTCTCTGCTAAGCAAGCAGGGAAGCACCTTGTCATAGCAGTAGGCAGGAAAAGGCAGCTTTCTCCTGCGCCTTGGCCAGGGCCTGTGTCTGTCTTGCTCTCCCTCCAGGGGTGGGCCAGAGGGAAAGGGGTCTAAGGAGTTCCCAGGCATGGGCTCATGATCACTGGGGGCTCCCCACTGACAAGTAGGTAAGGCAGGGAGGAGTGGCAACCTGCCCAGACTGCTCGTGGAGAGGAATGCACCAGAGCAAGAGGCAGAACTGAGTCAGTCCTTGGAGGACGGGCAGAGGAAGGCCTCACCCAAACTATGGGCTGGGGAAGTGGAGGTGAGTGAGGCCTTAGCACCCAAGAGCATGGCCTCCTTGGACAGCAGGTCCAAGCCAAGTCCACTCTGGAGCCAGGAAGCCACCAAAGACCTTCTAGCACCACCCATGCTACCCAGCTTGTCTGGGGCTGCAGCCTCCCAGGAAGCAGACACTTGGGCCCCTGGAGCAGTAGGATATTATTGCTATCTCGCAGAAGAGTTTCTGTTCGTCAGGGGATGAGCCCACAGTAGGTAGCTGGCCTGTCACAGCTGGTAGGTGGGTAACCCAGGTTCAGTTTACCACAGCTGGTTTGAGCAGCACAGACCCTGGCGGGATGACCACCCAGCCAGGAGTTAGCGCCTCTGGACTGCTGGCTGCCGAGTTGCCCGTGGACAGGTCCAGTACAGTGCCCGGTAGCAAGGGGAGTCCATCAGGGCTTGGCCGGGAGCGGCTGCGCTCCGTCCTTTCCAGGGGAGTCTTGTGGTCCTCCAGGCCCAGGACCCTGGCAGGCACTGACCCACGACCTTTCTCCCCCTCAGCCTTGCTACCAGCAGAACCACCCAGGAGAGAGACCACAGGCAGGCCTAGTCCACTAGCCCCAAAGGGTGAGGGCAACAGTGGGTTCTTGGCCAGATTGAGGGGCAGAACAGAGCCTGGCAGCCCAGGGCCCATGCCCCCACCTCCACCTCCACCACTGCCACAGGCCAGAGCACTGAGGTCAAGGGGGCCAGGAGCCAGGGGTAAGGGCAGGCCTGGCAGACTGGGGCCTCCAAAAAGGGCAGCAGGGTTTGGGATGATGATCTGAGCCCCACTGACATAGGAGCCACTGTCGGGAGTGGGTAATGGTGGTTTCGGGGGTGGGCGTAGCTGCAGGAGCTCCTGCTGTTCGTGAGACACAAAGTGACCGTGGGCTTTGATGTGCTTGCGCAGGGAGCTGGGGTCGGTGTAGCGCTTGTGGCAGCCAGGCATCTTGCAGTAGTAGGGCTTGTCTACGTAGTGGGTACGGGTGTGCTTGAATCGGTCACTCGAGTTGGAGTAACGCTTGTTGCAGCCCTCATAGGGGCAGACGTAGGGCTTCTCACCTGTAGGGGTGGGCTGCATTGAGGGGTCTCAATTCTGCCAGATCTTTCCACCCATCCCCTTGCCTCTCCCAGGCCCAGAGCTCCTGAAGCATTCTGACTCTGATTTGGGAGACCATCCCTGTACCCGGATGAGGCTGACCCAGCTAAGGGCAGCTTGCAGGCGGAACTGCTGTGCACAAATCAGATTCCTTTGCTATAGCAGAACTCAACCTTGGCGTGTACGCCCATGCAGACCTGGCCCCTGGTAAGCACTAACAGTGCTGCCTTAGTCTTCCATGTAGCCTTGCTCAGAATGGCTCACAGTCGTCTTTGTTTTTGTTTTTGGAGACGGTTTCTCTATGTAGCCCTGGCTGTTCTAGAACTAGCTCTGTAGACCAGGCTGAACTCAGAGATCTGCCTGCCTCCTGAGTGCTGGGATTAAAGGTGTGCACCACCTTACCTGGCTTGAATCACAAAGTCACTATGCTGACCAGGACAGGAGCCACCTGTAGCCACTCAGACTTGGAAATGAAGCTGGGTCCAAAAGGAGGTGTGCTGTGAGGCTAAGACAGACTAGATCTCAAAGGCTTTGTGTGAAAGGAGGGAGTTTAATGTTCAGCTGTTTTGTTTTGGTCTTTGTTTCTTTTTTTTTTTAAACATTTATTTATTATGTATACAATGTTCTGCCTACAGGCCAGAAGAGGGCAGCGATCTCATTACAGATGGTTGTGAGCCACCATGTGGTTGCTGGGAATTGAACTCAGGACCTCTGTAATAACAGCCAGTGCTCTTAACTGCTGAGCCATCTCTCCAGCCCCATTGTTTCTTTTTTGAAATGGGATCTCACTGTGTGTTGATCAAGATGGCCTTGACCTTCTAAGTTTGCAGGACGATTGTGGCACATGCCTTTGATCCCAGCATTTGGGAGGCAGAGGCAGGAGCATCTCTGCGTTCAAGGCCAGCCTGTTCTATTGAGTGGTTCCAGGACAGCCAAGGCTACACAGAGAACTTGTC